TTTTCAGCCAAGTCTCATGTGTGGTTATATAATCTTGTAACCATTGTATAACTGGACGAACAAATGCACTTTGTTTGATTTAAAAATTGCAATTTTTTTGTGACTCGAGATTTGAAAATAAAATATAAAGGCCCTTATAGGTACTTACTTTTTCTTTAGAGCCCTTTTTTTTTTTTTTTTTTTTTTTTTTTTTTTTGTTTTTAGTGCTTATTTTTTGCTTTTAGTGCCTTTTTTTTTAATGAATGCACAATTTTTCCCCGTACCAAAGCCTAAACTAAATAAACAAATTTTCTTCCTTATATGGAATGTCAGATGGTAAATCATACTCCTGGAAATACCTTTTCCTTCTTTCTCCGCATTAACGTAATCTTTGGTGCGCACAGAGAGTACTGACAGGTGCATATCGTTCTATTGGTCAAAGAATTCTGAAAGCGGTAGAAAATTCCGATACATTCGGTATTGTTTTCCTCCCACCCAAATATTACTTTTGAATTTCTATCAAGATTTTAATAATTTGTGTTCTTGTTCCATGTGGTCAGTTCATATTCGTGTTTATTATTATATTATCGTTCTGCTTATATTATGAGCATATGTATGAATATTTATAATAACATAGTTGCAGTAACTGCTGAAATATATATAAACTTCCAGAAATGGGTGTGTTTTTATTAGCTTTCTAAGATCTTGTTCACAGATTAGCTTTCTAAGGAATAATATTCGGAATGGCGTAAATAAAGGGAAAGTAATAGAATAGTCGAAATAATTTAATTTTTTTTACCAGTACATTATACAGTACGGAGGTTGGGAGGTTCCTCTTTCTCCGCAAAATCTCAAATATTGAAACTGTTACAGTTCGCTGCTAAACAAGCAACAAACTTTTTTTTTGTCACTTTCCAATCTGGATTGAATAGGGCTAAAAGTTCTGCAGTCTGCCAACCCAAGCGAAGAATGATTCTATTCCGGAAAATTTAACGCAGTCTGTTCAAAATTAGAATGAAAAACACCAGATTGGTAAGTCTCTTTCTTTTCCTTTATTTAGCTGCTTATTCTCCGAATACCGGCAGCTGTTGATTCCGATTGCGTAATATCACGTACAGAAGAATTACGGCGCACGTATTGTGCAATAACATTTGCGATATTTTGCAGACATAATTGTGATGTTCAGTTCGAGATTTGTTTATGAACACTTAAAAGAGTTTTACTGTGCTTGCTAAGCAGAATATTTTTCAGTGCTGTTGGTCTATTTTTATATGATGCACATATCGAAATGTCAAAAGCATTTATTTAGCTGAAAAATCTAAATAACGGCTACAATCCCCCTCCTCCTTTTTTCCAGTTACGCTTGACTATCCAAATATTTGGCAATTTCCGAGTATGCGTGTTCGTTAAGCTTTTACTATTAAAGGATGACTGCATGACGCAATTTCCCGTCTTCTGATTCAGAAATGTTCCTCTTTTTTATTTAAATTACTTTGCTTGCAATATCTGTTAAGGGAAAACTGTTATACAATGAAAATTTAGAAAATGTTCAGAATTTTAATTTAAGTTAAATTATTTATTATTAGGTACCAAGCGAATACAATAAAAATGCCTTATTGTTATTTATTTTCCTTATTTTTAACTGAAATTTCATCATTAATCTTGAATTATAGTTTAGTTCTGCATAGTTTTTTTTTTTCCTCGTATTGTAAACTAGTTCTGTAAATTGAACTGTTATTTAAAATTAAAAAAAAAAAGTAATTGTTTTCCATGGTTGAGGTAATGTTCATTCTCTCTTAATAAATACTGCATTTCTCATATTTTTAATTATAAGTCTAATTTTTCTTTTAAGGTTATGCAGTTGTGTATAATGTAATGAGACAGGTGCTTATTTTTTTCCTTAAAATGTGCTTGAAAAGTGCTTATAGGTGCTTATTTTTTAAACTAAAATGTGGCTATGAACCCTGTTATGCGACTGTGATATTCTTGCATTGTGAAGACAATGGTAACATCTTTTTAAAAATTTTTTTGGCTTCAAAATTGCATGTTGCAGTTTTAAAAAAGATGACAAGACCATGTCTTGAGTTTTAGCCTGTTTTAGGTGTATGTCTAGTGAAGTATGATGTAGAAGCATTGTCCTCAGACAAAATTAAAAAATATTACTGCTCTGACCACACACAGCTCTGTCCTGGATCAAGCACAATGAACGAGGAGAACTTTTGTGGGAAATTACGTAAGATTGGTGCTCTTTCAGAAGCAAATCAGCGGTCTTTCATGCCAAGCCGGATAAATCTAGCTAGTATACCATCTTGGGCTTGTACTTCTAATCAAATCTTAAAGAATTCATGGTGGAAAGGTCTGAACTGGTTAAGGATTTAAAGGCTAGTCAGACATGCCATGAAATTAAACCTAATGAGGCCTCTTCAGAAATCAGAAAGTTGTGGTATTAAACTGTAGTTTAAGTGCTGACACTCCTAAGTGGTACGAGAAATATTCTAAATTCTCAGGAACTGTAAGAATTTTAACATGGGTTCTAAGATTTATTAGAAGCTGCCAGGCGAAATCCCTAAAAAGAGCAGAATTCTTGTCTTCAGCTGAGTTAGAAGCTTCAAGAAACACTTTTAGTTCAGTGTGAAAGTTTTTCTCAGACTGGAGATGTAATAAATGGTCTCTCAATCTTCAGAGATGAAATGTTACTGGTAAGAGTGCCAAGGTACTTGCAGCAAGAGATGAGGAATTTGTATTTAAGTATCCTTCTGTCGGAGCATCATATTGTACAAAGTCTTGTCCTCAGATACCACAAGAACTCTCATGCCAGTGTCCAAATGCTCACGTCCATGATAAGAGAAAAATACTGCATTATTTTGTCTAGACTAACAATTAGATCACAAAAAAAAAAAAAAAAAAGCATTACATGCAAGAGATTCGCAGCAGAGTCACCTTCAACCATACCTATTCATCTATTTTTAGACAGATTATGAGATGCTTGAACTTTCAAAGTCACCAGAATCGACCTGTATGGCCCTCTAATTCTTAGAAATGAGACTAAAGCCAGGGTAGTGCTGTTTACATGCACTATCTACAGAATGGTACATTTAGAACTTGTGACATTCTTAAGGGCAGATTTCTTTGTACATGCATTGAGAAGATTCATCACTCAACAAGGCCATCTGACAGTTGTCTAAAGTGACACTGGTGCAAATTTTATTGGTGTCTCTGCGCCTGTTGAACCAAATTGAGGGGCGAAAGATAGCTGTTCTTGAAACTCTAAATCTGATTGAATGAAAAGTCATTTCCCCAACCACGATATTGGGAAAGATTAATTCGGATAGTAAAGTATCCACTTATTTGAGTTCTTGGTAAGTCATCTGTTACCTGCGAGGAACTGTGCGCACTTCTTTGTGATGAAGTGAAGTCAGAAGTCACTTTGTCAGAAGCTATTGTGAGTATCTGTATGCTAACATGCATTTCTAATGATGCATTTGAGTTAAGACCTCTGATACCATCTAACTTTCTGTGAGATGTAAAAGAAATTGGAGTGGCTGATCTTGATTACTTAGATTGGAATAAACTGGTAAACAGAGAACGTTATTGCCAAGCGCTGCTGAAACAGTTAAGACAGAAGATTCCAGAAGGAATATTTAGGTCAGTTTGTGCAAGAAGCTGACACATCTGGCAAAGTTTTAACAGTTGGTGAAGTGTTCCTTGTTTGTTCTGAAAACTGGAAGAGATTTAATCGGCCCCTTGCGGTGACTGAAGAACTGTATCCAGATAGGGACAGCCATGTGAGAATCATCCACTTGGTCACCTCTTTCGTCCAGTCCAAAAGATTTATTTACTTTCTAGAAGTTGATTCTTCTTGGGTTTCCATTATATCAGATGAATGTCCTGCTAATGGTCCACTAGCAGCATCACATTGTGAAAGCCTGATAAAAAATGGATGTTCGAGCAGCTCTTCAGACATCAACTTGAGGTAGAATAATCAAGACGCCAAAGAGACTGGGCTGTTGAACTTTTGAGCTTTGTGTTGATTTATATACCTTGAAGGTAATAAAAATCAAGGTGGGAGGATGTTACGTAGCAATGTCAATAAATGGCGGAAGCTGTCTACTGGCCTTTATAAATTTATGTTGCTTTATATTTTATGAATAACTTTTTTGTTTCCTTTTTGTAGGTGGCATCAGATTTGCCATGCACGTTATGCCTCAGTCTTTCGCTTGTAGTGTTTTAAAAATTCTGTTAATTTTGTATTTTTTCTGTTCTTGATAGTACCTCATTGGGAAATTTATGTTTTGGTTGAAGATGTATGTGAAGCTGTTTATATCAAGTGCTCAATAAAGTTGTTATTCATCAAAAAGATGCCCACTATTCAGGTAGAAAAAATGTATTTCTCAGTTCTTAAATCAAAGGTATATTGCAAAGAGAGATACTCTGATAGTGGACTCCCATGTCTTAAGTATTTTTAAGTTATATTATAAATCTGTTAAATGCCTGTTCAGAAAAACATTGACAGGCAATCTTGGAGTAGTCTCAATTTTTTTTTTTTTTTTTTTGTCTTTTTTTCAAGATTTCCTTTCAGTGTGATTCTTTAGTCAGATGTGCTTGAAAGTGACAGTAGCCTTAGTTAGTCCCAGATGGGGCGGTCTCTTTTTATGATAAACCAGCTTTTTCTCGAGTATTATATTATCTGTTCCTAGATGTAAAGGAAAAAATGTTTCATCCTGGTCTGGAGGATCTAGAATTCAGACTTTGTACTGCACTTCTGTCTTTAAAGCTACTAAGTTCAACTTTGAACACAACCCTTTAGAAATGATATGTAATGCATAACAGGAAGAAATACAGAAATAAATATGATATTCATTATGGTTTAAAATCTTCTCTTATATAATTTTTTTAACTTTTAGTTATTTGCTGTTGGTAATCGTTTTCATATTTGAATTAAATTTCATTTACTAAAATTCTGTGAAAGTATTTTTTATGATAATATTTTCTCTTTTCTCTTCTCGTTATGTTTTCTGCAGGGGGAAGAGTGAGCTTCTTGAAACTTCAAGATGCAAGCTCAAGATGTTGTAGAAGTGTCTAAGGTAACATTTTTATACCTTTTATTTGTACAGAACATTTTTAAATGAATATTTGTAGTTTATTGTACATTGAGTTTTCTGACCACCTCCCCCCTCTTTGCTTATTTAAACCTGGTAATTAAGTGAAAATACAATTTAATCTATAAAATAAAATGATTTGCCCAAAGTCCCATTCCAAAGTCTAAATAAAAAGTTTTCATATGTATAATTAATGTGTTTTGTTTGGTATTTTGAAAAATAGCATTGATGTAATGTGTTAATTTGTAGATTTAAAAAAAATTTCTTTGTTTTGAAATTACAAGCTTTACCGCATTAATGATGTTATAATACAGCTAGGCAAAGCAAATATTTGGCTAAAAGTTAGGTGGCTTATTTGTGCATATGACATCTGATCAGAGATAGCTATGTGAAGAAAATAATCTCATGTAAACGGTTTTTAGATATTTTTGCTGCGTCACTCTGATCATAAGCTGGAATGCGACTTTCATCATAGAAAGACACGAGTTTCAAACAGCTTTGGAATGAATCATTATTTTCCGCATTCATTGTTCTTTTTGATAATTTTGTAGTTCATCACATGACTTTTAATTTTGCTAATACAGTGCTTGTCATTTCTATGATTTTTAAATACAAAAATTTTAGGTATATAATTAATTATCTGTGATTATAGGTGATTATTCATAATTTCAAGTTTCATGATTACTAGCTATTATCTGCAATCATTTATAATTTTAATATTTGTAAATAGTTGGCATTATCTGAATATCTATAATTTCAAGGTTTGAGATCACTGTGAAATAACAATATTTCTTGCTGTCTTCCTTTTAAATGCTGTAAGAGCCATTGCTTGAAATCCTTTTTAATATCTGATACGATTATGTGCATTTCTGAAAGTTGAGAAATAAGTACCGTATTTGACAGCATATAAGACGCACCCTTATTTAGAAGGCCACACACAAGGGGAAAAAGTTTCAATAGCGTGGTTTCTTTTAGTTCTCACATTTCGTAAAAGCCAAATAAGCAATTATTGAATGCAATTACCTTCACGTATAAGACTGTGTCCTTCATGTATAAGATGCAGGTAACTTTTTTGAGATAAAATTTAGGAAAAAAAGTGTGTCTTATATGCCGTCAAATACGGTAATAAACTGTTTAAAGAAAAAAAAAGATCCTATCCATTTAGTATTGTTGTTTCTAATAAGTAATAACTACAGGTTACTTTCCTCTTTTATAAAAAGTAAATATCTCTTGTAATTTTGGAACGCATTGTTTTTTTTAATTGACTGATCATTCTTGGAGAGAGAAAGAAATGTTTGTTTAGAAAATTTGCTTAAACTTAAGTGACGTATTTATTAATACATGAAGCACTAAAAATCATAAAGTATTGATTGGAATCATTATTATTATTAAAAAAATTCTGTTCAATCCATAAGTACTGGTAGTTCGGTCCGAGGTTCGAATCCTGCGAACGGGCTGGCTGCATGGGCGTTTTCGTGGTTTTCCCCATGTGTAACGTGTATACCAGCCAGTTTCCCTTTGAAAGTCCTCCACGAAGGCATCCCTCCCGTTAGGCAGATAGCCCTCGAAGCTTTGCCGTAATCACACATACACACAATCCATAAATCTCCAAATAAAAAAGCTGATCAACTCTTTCTTTTTAGACTAAAATAAATTCGCAAGACAATAGAGATACATACAGATACATAAAAGAAAAGGAAGAGGAATACAGTTAAAAACCTGGTAAAATGTATTCAAGAGGTGGTAGATCAGATGTCAGTAGAAATCAATTTCCTAGGAAACCACCGTGTTTCTGTTCATCCAAAATTAGCTTATGAACCATTTTAATCCCTTGCCTGTAACGTCTGAACTCATTTTGGGCAAGAGAAAAATCGGTGTTTCATTTCTGTGAAGCCCAAACTCAGTTCGTCCAAAGCATAATAAGTAATTTACCATTTTCACAATAGATGGTGATACTTTCCCGCGAAAAGTTCGGCAGTTTCGCACCATTTGTCGAATTTTTGTAATTTTTCCTAAATTGCATTCAAACTACATTATTGCAGTGTCAGAATCAGATGATGATGAAGAATATTAGTTAGGTTCTTCATGCTCAGATATCAGTATTTCAACAGTAGAATATGACTATTCTGAAGGTGAAACTCTTTTCATGCCGAACTTGGATACCGCTATGTTTGAATAATCTTCTTCCAGCCCCACCAGAATTCCTATTCCAGAAGTGGGGGCAACAATTGACACTTCTACTTTTATTCAAGAAAAACAATATTTTGAACTGTTTTTGATGATAATTTGATTCACTCCATTACGAAAGAGACTAATGCATATGCTCAACAGTGCATTGAAAGGCAACCTCTGAAGTCAAAAAGCTGATAAAAAAGAAGGGTGCCTACAAATGTCAATGAAATGAAAATATTTCTGTTGCTCCATGTTTTAAGATATTATTCAGAAGCCCGATGTCTAGGTAAAAAAATACATGTCTTGAAACTGCATTCTTTCATAAAGTTACGTCCTACGAAAGATTTAAAATGATAAGAAAATATTTGCATTTTGTGAACAATGAAGTCAACCTTGAAATACACACTGATGCAAAACTGCACAAAATTTGGCCCATTTTTCAGTTTCTGTATGCCAAATGTTGTTCAGTTTACATCCCCATTTGTGACGTCACTGTTGATGAAAGCCTGATGCTGTTTTAAGTGTAGCTTGGGTTGGATCCAATACATGCCCCGAAAAGATCTCGGTTTGGCATAAAAACATTTATGCTGTGTGAGAGTACGACTGACTGCATTTTTTTCAAGCATCATCTACGCGGGAAAGTTCACAAAGCTTGACAGCAAATATGCACATCTTGGTATATCTGATCAAGTAGTTATGTCACTGATGAAGCCTCTATTAGGCAAAGGATATTGTTAGCTGATAAGCTTGTGCAACAATATTCGACTGACATATACGGAACTGTAAGGGCAACCAAAAAGGACTTGTATTCGATTTAAAAAAAAAAAAAAAAAAAGGTGAGGTGACACTCTGGCTTTCCAGCATGGGAAAGTCATGGTCCTGAAATGGCAGGACAAGAAAGAAATTTACCTGCTTTCTTCGGTCCATACTGCAGAAATGATTGAGATGGAAGATTGAAAGAAGCAAAAGGAACTGAAACCTAAAAGTAGTTATTGACTATAATAACAGTGGGAAGTGTTGATAAAGTAGATCAACGCCTTACAGATTATCCCATTGCTAGAAAATGTGGAAAGAAATACTATGTAAAGATATTTTCCCATCTTCTGGATCGAGTACTTTGGAATTCCTTAATTATTTATCATTCATCAGGCAGTGGAAAATGTAATACAGACTACAGAATTTCAATTGTGGAGCAAATCATTGAAGTTAATAAGCCATGCATTCAGCCAACAGGACCAGGGCATCCTAATATAAACTTGTTGTAACTTATGGGTCGACACTTTTCTGAATAAATTTTACCAATGGAGAAAACGACTACTCCAACTAGACAGTGTTTCCTTTCTTGTAAAACTGATGAAAAGGGTAAGAGGATACGGCACAAGACTAGAGTTTATTGTAAAGACTTTAATGTAAGCTTGTGTGCCATGCCATGTTTTCATATTATACCATAAAGGATTTGTGAAATTCAGAGGAATCTGAGGGAATGGAATTAATGACAGTTGAAACAAATAATATTGTTGTATTGGCTTATTTTATTTATATTGAAAGTTATGTCTTTTCATTCATTTTGCTATAATTTGTGCAAAAAAGTTTTATAATCCATTAACAGTTCCCATATATTCAATATAGTAGTTATTTTGTTTAAAATTTTGCATTAAAAAAATAATCTATTTCTAACATTTTAATGATAATAATGAACAAAATTAAATAGGGGAAAAAAATCATTTTTGGCATGTTTTTCTCAAATATTCACAGGCAAAAGGGTTAAACTTTTTAATTATTAAATAGTTCATCCGAAAATTTCAAATGCCTCCTCTACACACCCACTTTCAGTAATACATAAAAACAAAGGAAGTAAAGTCAATTCGCTAAATAACGCAAAAGTAGTATATACAATTACTAATATTAAAATGAAATAATTTACAAAATCTAGAGAAAGTACCCAAGTTGTATTTATAATATTAACTGAGATCAAATATTTTTTTAACTTGTATATATATATATATATAATATAAAATGCATACATATAGTTTTCTGCTTTATTGGCAAATGTAAAATCTTAAATTAATGCATGCTTCTTCATGTGCCATACTAGTTGGTCTTCTGTATTTGTATAATTGATTTCTTCCCATTTTCTTTGTATTTATCTTTTATACTAATAATTTTAAATTGACAGATATTGTCGCAATTGATACATCAATTTTTTCACTTTTTTTTTAAGGATGATACAAAATCACTGAGTGAGTGGCCAACTTTGGGTGAAGTTCATATGAATGAGGTATTAGTTTTTGATATTGATGTGTATATATATTTGCATTTATGTCCTTAATGAATATAATTATATGTTTGTATGATAACTTTATAGAAGCAAGCAGCTAGTTCTAGTTCTTTGCTGGTAAAGATTGCAAAAGAACGTGGCACAAATGAAACACTTTTGGATGATGATTCTGCAAAGGAGAATCAAGAACTTACTAAAGTGAATACTACTACCCAAGTTAGGAAAAAAGGTATATACTTTTTTCTTTAACCCTTTTAGGATGGATGTATCATACATCCATCAGCAGCTAATTCTCTTACGAGGTGGCATGCTGCTTAGCGCAACTCACCTTGGAGACAGTGTGTTGCACCAGTGCATCACCAGCTGCTAACGACATCTGGGACTGATGCATATATGACACACCCATCTGCAAAGGGATTTTAGTTCAGCAACATGCTATCATGAAGGGGTTAAAATTGATATATATATTCATAATTTTATGTTTTAAGATTCAGTGAACCATTAGTTTAAGGAATAGTTTGCTTATTTTGTAAAAAATGATCCACTATTTATAATTTTTAAAATTTTGCATGATTAAAACATCTGATGTGAAATTATTTTCTAATTTCATAATTAGATTTCTGATACATTGCTGCCGTAAGCTTTATCACTTAGAAATGGGTATGACACTTTTTGTTAAAAATGCTAAAGGTATTTTATCTCACTAGTATGGGAAAAACAAAGAACAAATTGTTGAAGTATTTATTTTGTAGTATATAATTTTTTGCTCTACATTCTTTTTAACACCCCAAATAAATAAATAAATAAAAATATTTCAGTTTTGATAATGTGAGGTCTATGATAAACATTGCTGCCAATCAGTAACAGGGTCTATGATAAGCATTGTCGCCAGTCAGTAGCAGATCTTTTTTATCTTCTGTATTATAAAAGTAAATTAATGATTCAGAAAAGTCACTATCTCAGTTTCTTAACATTTTGTAGCATGGTCATTTTATTGTCCTTAGTATTCTGCATTTGAAAGAATAGGGATGTTCAACTTTAGTGACACATTCTTCCCATGGTCTTGCAATGCTCCACACAGCTGATTTTATGCTAAAATATTCTTGAATATTCTTGCCATTATTCAAGAAATTGAGCATGGATTTTAAAAATGCTACTTTATATTTGCATTTCAGAGCATGCACTATTCTAATATCCATAGGCTGTATGATGGACATACAGGTTGAAGAAAAGAATAATACAGATACATTATCTTTCACCAAAACTCAATTGAAGTGTGAGCTAAACAGTTATTATACATCCAAGGCAATTTTTGCATCATAAGGTAAACTAACCAAATTCAAATGTTGTCGAGGCTTGGGTATGAGACGATTTTCAAACCATTCGTTAACGCTTGTGTCAGCCATGTTGTTTTATTTGCACGATATATAGCAAGAAATTCTTTACTCCTTTAACCCTTTGTGGCACACCTAAAAATTTCCTTAAGTACGCACAGAAAAATTGAATGAAAAAGGATTTATAGGTTACTCTGAATCTTCTTTATTTATAGTAGATGGCACATTTTTCAAAGAAATCTTCCAGATTTTTTTAGGGTATAAAAGGAATTGTTTGAAAAGAAATTTCTATGTTATTTTTTTTTTTTGGCTGTATGCTAATCTCCTTATTCTATATTAGTTTTAAATTTTTACCTTGAAATCTTGCCTAAAATCAAACGGCGAACCCTAGGTGTGCCCCACCGATAATATAGGACAACTGAGAGTGTATTCTTTGTTTCTCCGCATCTCATCGGTCAGTTCATTGACAACAATGCTTGTTTCAGCACTCTTTTCGAAGGTCTATTCAATCAGTGTGCCCAGTTTGGGCACACCCACAGAATTAAAACGATAAGTGCTATCTTCACAAAATTTTACTTGTGTACTCCTCTGGGCCTAATTAGACTGCCCACCTTTTTTTTTTTTTTTTTTTTTTTTATCAAAACTCCAACTTTATAAGGTAGCGTGCCGGAAAGGGTTAAATGCTTGAGGTCATGTATTTTTTCCGATTATGAAAAGTTTACACTTGTGCGTTCTTGCTGCATTTTTGCATGCTAAAATTGTTAGTCTTGCTTTGGAATCTTTGACATTAGTTGGAGCCTTTTCTGTAGAGCTTGCCAAGGTATTTCACAGTACATATTGCCAAAAAAGACGAGTTTCATCAGCATTGTAGATTTGTTCTTGAGATAGCTTTTCATTATTAATGAGTTCAATGAATTCATCTGCAAATAGTTCAATAGCTTCAGTATCAAGTGAAGCTTTTTCACCTGAAATTTTTGGTTAACCAACCTGTCGAATTTGTGCACTCAATTCTGAAGTTCATTTCTTCATGAAATACATGATATGCTACAATGCTAATGGCCACCTGCAAGTATGGGGTCATTGCCATAGTGATATATTGTTTCCTGACTTTTATTTTGTTCATCAAAATCAAATACAGATTCAAATTATATCGCAGGTATATTGTACACTAATTGCGTTCTGTAGATCAGAATTTGAAACATCTCAAAGGAACACTGAGAGATTAACTGATTGAGAATATTGAAATTATATTATCAAAAAGCCTTCTTGGCAGTTAATCTAAAATTCATTACTTATGCATTCACATAATTATAAACTTGCAACCAATCAATTTTTATTTACCTAAAAATTTTTATTTCTAATGAATGGAACATAATTAACATAATAGCAAAGTGTTTGAAGTAAATAAACCTATGGATTGGCAAATTGCTATCCATTCTAATTCAGGTACTACTACATTGTTTGCTATTTGTATTGCTTCACATGTCTAGTAATTATTTTTATAATACTTGAGTTATGAAAATTTTCTGAGATTTGAAATACTCACCACATTATAACATCTGCACTGTGTGAAACCTTCCATTTCAAGTTCAACACAGCAGTATTTTCTTTTTGTGATCTAAAAATTTCTTTAAGAAAATCTTATTTTGTATTAGCATTATGTTACTTTCAGGCAGTTAAAATAGATACCAGATAGAAAGAGAAACATGTCAAAATTAAAATTTGACAAAACAGCAACTTTATTTTGGCATAGATTTTTAAATAAAACTATGGATTTTGAAGACAGTCAATCACATGTGCTTTCTTAACGTTTTTTTTTTTTTTTTTTTTCCTCCTTCTTTGATAGCCCTTAAAATCAATAGTTTTATTTGAAATCTGTGTGAAAAAGATTGCTATTTTGCTACTTTTAAAGTAGATATTTATTGCTTTAGAAATACTTGGTGATTTGCAGTTGCATTAATTTTGTTTTTCTGTGTTACTGCGATTTCGTAATGTTTATAAAAATTTAAGGAATTAAAAATTGTAAATTAAATTAGTGGAAAATTATTAGATCAATATAGTTTAAGTGGTTTGATTTGTGCATTTCTCAACAAGGTTTTAATTGGGATATGAATAGCAATAACATGATTACTGTAACCAAGGCATTTTCAGATTGTACTAATTCCATTTTACTTTTCCTGTTCGTAAAAAAAATTCCCTTTCCTAGTTGACTCTCATTATCGTAATCCAAGCTTTTCCCTGCTTGGCCACTTTGTCCATGTGTGAGTTATCTGAATTGTAACCTAACTATCTGAAGAGAGGGTCTGTCTAAAGACAAACTTCTAAAGGGGGGGACGGAAATCAACTTTGGAAGGCTAAAAAAAATATGATTTGTCTTTGGAATATATATATAAATTATAGTAGTTTTTTGTGAATTCTAATGTTTGAAATGTGAAAAATGAAGTTATATAATTGATTTCTTGGTTTTCCTTTTCCCTAATAAATTATTGTTTGTGACAGATCTACATGATGAGGAAAATTAAGTTATGTGTATATTTAACCATAAAGGAGGGAAGCTACCCCGAAGGAACTATTTCTTCCTCTAGAAGTATTTATTTGTAGCAGATGTTCTCCTGCTGCAAGTTACTGACCATTGCTGAGGGCATTGGGAGCCATAGGAACTTTGCTTCTGCCTGGCGAAAAATAGTTGCATATGTTTTTTATTAATCTAGTGTGATTGCGTTTTACTGGTATAGTGCATTGACTATTGACAAGTTTTGCTGTAGGTTTTTGTTTAACTACAGTAATGTTGATTTTTAAAAGTCTGTTTTAACATATATTGTTATATGAATTTGCTGATTCCAGTTATGTAAATTTCTTAGTAAATTTTACTATAAGTGTTCTTATAGTAGCTTACCTTTTAATCTTGTACATGATGACATTTTGAGGAACATTTTTGTTTCAGGATCAAAGCAAAAGTGGGTACCCTTAGATGTAGAAACAATTAAAACAGATAAAAAGAAAAATATCCTTAATGGTAAACCATCCTTCCAAAAAGATTCTGATGCTGTCCATAGTAATGGAGAAAAGAAAAAATCTGAAAAAGATGATACAAAGAAATCATCTGGTGAGCTTGGTGTATTTCATTGCTTTGAAGTATATTAATGTCACTTTTAAGTAACAAGTTTATTCCAATTTCTTTTTATTTATTAGAGAATAATCGTAGAGATCGTTCATTTGCTCAACGGTCCAGAGGAAAGAAACGTGGTTATTCTGTTGATTGGAAACTAAGACGGAGAGGTGAGTCATATTTTAAAGCATTCTAAGGTAATCTATAAGCTTTGTTTAGCTGAAGTTACTTGTATTGTATATATCTTTTTGGTTGAGGAGTCAATTTGTCTTTATTAGGCTAATGATGAAATGACAAGACCAAGATAAAATTGTGGTAAGATTTTTTGTGAGGGGGGGATAGGTGCATTATTACTATGTATACCTTTGATAGCTCATTATGGATTAATTCAATTTGTATCACTTTAAGATTGATTAGATGTTATAGCTGTAAAGAAGAAACTCAGTTGACTTATATTTAACTAATAAGAATTATAGAGAATTATAGGTATTTGAGTATTATGTGCACCACCTTAGTAGAGCTCCTCAAATTTTCAGTAATACACAAACAGCTGTTCAAGGAAATGTGTGTATGACAATTCTTCCATGTTAACAAACAGTGTCACCATTTTCATATGCTTTCTTGCTCTATTTTTAGTTTGAACAGCTTTTAAGACAAATGGGGTTGATTTTTTTTTAAAAGCTAAATTTTAAAGTTTGAGAAATTTGTTGTTAATAGCAGAAGCGCAATGAAATTTCTGCTGGAACATTGTATTTTGCATCAAAATTGTGGCACACTATACGTTAACGTCGGAATTTCAACAAAAAAAGTTGTATGCAGTCTATTTAGTCCTAAAGGAGTATACAGGTAAAATTTTGTAAAAGATGCACTTACCGTTTTAATTCTGTAGGTGTTCCATGAGGTGGAACACTGCGCCGCCAGAGCTTTTAAAAGTGCGACATTGCAGTGAAGCACGAAAATGAGTAGAAGCGTTTGTATAAGAATGAAAAAACTCTGTATTATGGCTGTATACATGGTTTCCTGAATATATACGGATAAATGAGATAAATATCTATATACACAAGTCCTATATACAAAAATATTAAATTTTCGGAAAGAGTTATACCTCTCCTGCGCCATTTATGGAAAATTAATAATAAAAAAATTAACAACAGTTTAAACTAACAGTAAAGAAAAATAAGCTATAAGATATATGTACACAAAAAATATCTACACAATTATTGAAAATAAACGGGAATAAGACTACAAAGCGACAGCAAAAAATTCCCGCAGCTCTAATTAAAGATGACTCGAGCTACTGATAAAAATCCCACCTGAAAATTACTCACAGAAATTTCAAGATGATTATATTAGGGCCTTAATATTAATAGCACAAACCACACCTCACCCCTCAAGACTGCTTTGTTTGAATTCATTCACCCAAAACAACGGAAATAAAAAACATATACAACAGATGTTTTCTCCTAAGACAGATGTTCTGATTCGTAACAGCATGAGATCGCTAAAGGTGCAGTGTTCTCGCTAATGGAACACCCGGTCTAATTCAATGATTCTGCGTATGGTTTTTGTATGAAAGATTTAAAAAAAATATAGAACAGATGATTTGGAGTACAGCCAGCAAAATTATGCCTATTTTTTTTTCCAAATAAAAATTTTTATATCATTAAAAAAATAGAGAAAATACTTGAAAAAAGTAGATTTTAATAACACATAATGAATTAAAATTCTGTGTCTCCTTGTGGATATGCTGCTATCTACTGTTTAAAAAGAAAAGTTCAAAGTATATTATAAAGGCATTTTTATCTATTTACGGTTGAATTTAAAGGTTTCAGAAGCGATTCAATTTGGGTGTTCCATGTAGTGGAACACTGAGCCGCAAAGGGTTAAAGGAATTGCTATTGTTTTGAATTTATTCATTCTCAAAGAATCATCACAAAATTTTCACTGAGCAAACATAACAAAAGTCTGCTTGTAAGTAGCTTTACTGGTTGTTTTTTAAGATGAATATCAAATTCAAACATAAATTATGAATGTAATAAATATATATGAAATAAATTATATTTTACGATTATAAGCCATCATTCTAGGGTCTGTAAAGAAGTCCTCAAACAGAACCAGGATGGTTATGTTAATATGTAACTACTGAATAATATTTTAGGCAGTGCCTTAATAACCAATCAAAAGTTTCACTTTTGGTGAAAGAAATTCGCTTCTCGCAGTTTCTGAAAGAAAGTCTCTGTAAACAAAATAATTTCATGTAGTAAATGTTTTATATATGTTCATTTCTATATTTCGCATCTGAAGAAAAGTTTTGTGCTTTTTCACATTGCTGTTAGAGAGTACAGCCACATAACATGCATTGGATCAAGAAATGTAGTGTTACGCAGCAGTAAGAAATCCACATGTACCATGTGATGACATCTGCAGTACCACCAATTGTCAGCAAGGAGGCCATTGTTTTGGCTTTCATTGACACGAAAATCTGTGCTTGCAATAGCTGTATCAGTGGCATGATATTGTCTCTTCTGATGAATCCCATTTTTGCTAACTGTATCATGATGGTCATATGCCTGTATGGAGGCAGTGTAAACAAATGTTGGAAGCTTTCATTTTTCATTATCATACTTGCCCAATACTTGGTTTGATGATATAGGTTGCCAGTGGTTACATATTCTATTTATTTCTAGCCACATATCTGATACTTTGACTAATTACCATTTTATAAGTTTTAATGCCTGTGGCTATGCTATTTCTGTAATGCCTGTATCCCCCACATTAGCTTGCAATATCAGTAGACATGTTATTCAGATTTGTTGGTAATTGAAAATATCAGCTCAACGATTACAGATAATTCCCGGCTTAGAATTGAAGCTTATAACCATCTGCAATGCTCTTAACTGCTATTCAGTCATTTGGCATTATACCAACTATACAACAGCTACTGTTGCCAGAGGTTAATGCTTAGGATACTGGTATTTGCTTTGTAACTTCTTAAAAATATCTTGAAATTTTAATCATTTCTTCCTTCTATTATGTCTCTGTAAAATAAGTATGACTGCTGTTTTTTTTTTTTTTTTTTTTTCCCCGTGATGTAGCCTTTTTGAGTGGCCATAAGTGTAATTATAAAAATTTCTTGCTGAGGAATTTTGTGAAAAATTCTGTGCATGAAGGTCAACAGAAGTAGTGGAATCCAATTGAAAACATGGGAATTGAAAGCACTTTAATACAAAGCAGGGTTTAGTTGAATTTTCTGTAATAAAATAAGCAAGTCATTAGTTGTTATGTTAAAGTTTTTTAAGTAAGCATTTGTCACCTACTACATCATAAATCAATTTGTGAGTTTCTTAAATTTCAGAGATTCCATAATTTGTTTTGTTGTTGCTGTTTCTCATGCTGGTTTTTTTATTGTGCAAATCTTAAGCTCTAGTAAAACTACAACTTGCATTAGATGATGAGTGAATGACATAAATAATACTGCACAAGTGTGGTGAGTAGGATTTGATGAAATCCATCATGTCCATAGCTGGACAAATATTTTTTCAGCTATACATACATTTTGACCAATGATAGTTTTAATAATGTTAATATATTTTACCATGTTTCTGATATCTTATAATGTTTTATTTTTCATGTTTTATGTGTTTGAAATATGCATTTTGTTTCTAAATTTAATATATGAATTTTTTGCATTAGCATTTTCTCAAGACGATACATTTTATCAGGATGTGAATGGATTTGTAACACCCGATGTTGCTTACTACCCATCTGCTTATTTTCCTTGCTATTGGAATGGATATCAGATGTCTGATGAAGCTTTAAAAGATTCCTTAAAGAAACAGATGTAAGGATGCATTTTTATTGTAGTAATTTATTACTGACTGTTTGCCTTATGATATGAGTTATAAGAGTATGTACTATAAACACCATCAAGCCATTTTGGCTGAGTGTTTGAAGTGGAAACAACTCCATTGTCAGTTATACCCAAATACTACACATTTTTTGAAAGGTTTATGGTTAACTGGCTATCATAGAACACACAAACATTAAAGCTGTATTACTGAACTGCTGGTAATACTGAATTACCAAACTGAAATAATTGACTGGTATTTCACCCAAAATAATCAAATAGACAGTTCTATTGTTCTTCATCTCCATGTTCATTTCTGAGCTACAGCATGCTAGGAAGTTTCTTTGATTAAGCAATGGGATATTACAGTTGGTAGTTTTTAAATTTACCTTGTTTATTTGAAAGCTACCAAGGAAAGACCAGATAAATTTTGCACTTGTCTTTTGATATAGAAATGCATGTAGAAAGTAAAACTAATTTTATTTTGCAAAATACTTGGTAAATAATAACTATTAATTGATCATTGAAAAAAATTTATTATCTTGAATAATAAATAAATAGTATTTTTGGTACTACCCTAACATTCCACCCGCTTACCTGATTAACAAAAATAATAGGAAATGTATACATTGAGATTCTATACAGTAAAGGGAATGGAATGTTAAGGTAGCACCATATTTTTATTGCAGTTCCTAAATAAGCATATATTTTAAATTATTGAAGTCTTGATAAAATTTACTAATATTTAATTATTTTCATGTGGTATCTTTTAACGCAACTTGACATTTCCTTCGTTACCAGATTGTTTCGTTACACTTTTTATGTTTTCTGCAAATGTTAAGGACTTTTGTTGGCCTTAATTCCAATGGTGTTGAGTCTGTATATTTTGAAAAATTATCTAAATGGTTCGTGGACAGTCTGTTACATATCTGTTTGAGTTGTACTTTTCATTTATACTCTGGTAATAGTATATTCAGTAATGATTCAGCTATTTGAATCTTATATTCAGCATGAGCTTTTTGCCAGTATTTATTTTCTTGAAGTGTATGAGTTAAGCAGAGCAATATCAAACAGTTAAAAGAAAATATTTCAATACTCTTTTATGCATTTTTTCATGACAGGAAAGGAAAGCATGCTAGCATTTGATCAATTCCAATCATTCCTTTGTTGTATTTGATGATTCATTTTGGTTTTGAAGTATGATTGAATATATTTTCATCTGGTTTTGTCAATTATGCTGTTTCATGTTTGGAAGAAAGAACAAATATTTTATTTATTTTTCCATTTTAATCCCATTTTGTATTCCATGGCAGCTTCTCATTCTACATTCACCTTTTTTAAATTTTACTTTACAAAATTCTTTTGCTGTATTTTTTTTTTTTTTTTTTTTTTTTTTTTTTTGTTTTGTTTTGAGCACTCTGTTCTAATGACGTTAGTTTCACTGATAAAGTTTTAGTTTTGGTGAAGAGTATGAGTTGTGTAAATGTAAAATATATTCTTTCTATAGTACTGACTGTATTAGCTCGTTCATGACATATTTGGATTCACTGTTACTGTAGTTTTTTTTATCACTACTTGTGTAATGATTTTGATACGCAGAATTTATAAAATTTAATCCAGAATCTTGCACTTTTCAATGTATTGAATTGCAAGATAAGCATCTCTTATATTTCCTGAACAGTTCATCGATAGCAGTGTCTTTTTCAACTGTATTAACTTTTTTAATTTTTTATTCAAAAAATTACCAAAGGTTTTATTTTGCATACTTTACCTGTTAGTTTACCTTAATTTTAGTGAACTTGTTATTTGCAAAAAATCTGTTGATCAACATCATTTTTTCTGAATACTGGAATTTCTACTACTGCTCACTAAGAATTGAATTCACATTTGAATTGGGGGTTTTTAACTTCAGGCATTATTATGCATTATGCAAAATGTATTTTCATTTCATTGCAGTCTACAGGAAACCAAGTCTCATCTATTTTTTCATCTCATATTTAAATTATTTTCTATGTGGTTTTCATACTGATTTAGCTCCATAACAATATTTTCCCCAATTATGTGATCAAATATATTTCAATGATCTAATTCTTTTCTTTGTTTTCATCTGACTGACTTAAAGTTGCTACTTTTATTTCAGAAATCTTAACCATTTGACTGCTACGCAGTGCAAAAGTGCTGCATTCATTTGTCTCGAAAACCGCGATGCAGCACTTACGCGCTGCGGGTTTCAGTGTGTCTTTGTTGCTCTATGGCTGTGTACTTACGTAGTCGGACCTTATGCGTACTTTGTTAACACGAGTGCATTCTAAAATAACTAATTGCGTCGCGGTTTTCGATACAAATGAACGCAGTGCTTTTGCGCCACGTAGGAGTCAAACGGTTAATGTAGTGCCAGATTTTTGGTTCATATATTTTTTTTTTCCAAATTTGATTGTTGATGACTACTGTGGTTATCTTCATTGTTATCATCGTCACTAACCGATCTCTTACAATGTTTTCGTGCAGGATGTAAAATATCACTAATGTCACTATCACCATTTAAAACATTGATCAAATCGTTGTTTATGTTAGCAGACCTTTCACTGCTGTCATCAACGCTAAATAATCTTTTTGACCCTTTCCAGGCTGATTTAATATTCAAGAAAATATATCTGCACATCCAAACATGGCCAGGAAAATGGGGAAGTGTTTGTCGTATGTAGCTCAAATGTACCACATCTCTCACATGTGTTTTCTTTTGGCCCATTTGACTTCATTTGGTGTCTCTCACATGACATCGTAAGGCAAGGGGTTAAACATGAAAAACTTTTAACACATTCTGATATTTAGGTTCTGAGATTCTGAGATTGGATTAAGAAAATATAAAGTAATGGACATTAGATGCTGACTCATCAAGGCGTGATTAAGTTTAAATATGCAGTAATGATTTAGATTAATTTAGGTTAAAATAAGCAGTAATGGTCACCTGTGTTTTCATTTTCACTAGCATATTGTGAAAATATTGTATTGCACTATACTTCCTACACAGTTTACTAATGTTATTTCAACTGCAATACTTTTCTTGCATTTACTTTAAATACTAACCTTTGACCTGCTATCCTAATCCCAGGACTCAGTCTTACTGCTGATGCACATTTAGGTTAAATTTAGGTGAAAGTTACAAATGAGACAGTTGTCATTCATGGGCTTTAATGATAGTATTGCATACTCATTTGTGAAACTAGCATTCCATTAACATTATTTTTTAATTTGTCTAAAATTATTATTAGGAATTAAAAAGTTACAGGAGGAATACTCTCTTCCTTGTTATCTTTAATCCAGGATCTATATTATAATATATTTGTTGCATTTAGAGTGTTCATACCTTCTGTACCGTACTAGTTCGGAGACCCTGAACACAAACTTCAGGTTCTCTGGATTTCACTGTTTTCACTGGTTTATTAATTTAGTTTTTTAGATTTGAGCATGATTCCTTCATTACTTAGAATGTTGCAGATTGGTGGTTTCTGCACTTCTTTGTTATAGCGCTCCCCGAGATTGAATAGTCAATCAACCGAGGTATCGTGTAAAATCTGGGTGCGTGTTCTTATACCTTGCCACGTGATCATAAATTAGCATTGGCTGCGTGTTTTTATGCCTCGCCATGTAATTGTATTTTAGTGCCATGTTGCATTTATCCTCTTGCCACATGTTCTTCTGTTACTCATGAAACTTTACGGTAATGACAAAACCGTTTGAGGTGAAATGTTAAAAATTGCAAAAAGACAAAAGCCATCTGTTTTGGAAATTGGTTCATCAGTTCCAGAATATTGTTCGTCGCTGCTGTTAGACTTACGTATTCTTGGGCAGAAGAGTTGACATCCATGAAATAGTGTAACAACGAGCTTAATTTGTAGGAAAGCGCTACGTGCAATAAAATAATAGTAATAAGCATAATGATTCTTAAAAATATTCTCAGGCAGTGTAATAAGCATAATGATTCTTAAAAATATTCTCAGGCAGTGACATGTGAATATTATTGTTATCATTATATACGAGGGCTATTTTTTTTTTCAAGCTCCGATGGGCTATAAAGAAAAGATGTGTGTATATACAAAAAAGATTTTATTACCAAAAGTAATGTACAATACAGGTTATTTCTCTACATAATCACCTTGACGATTGAGGCATTTGTCATATCTGTGAACAAGCTTTGCAATACCCTCTTCATAAAATGTCCCCGCCAATGATTGGAAGTGAGTTGTGACTGTTTCTTTCAGCTCCACGTCATTTTGGAAGCGCTTCCCGCCAATCCACTGCTTCAGTTCAGGGAACAGATGAAAGTCACTCGGCGCTAGGTCGGGATTATATGGTGGATGTTCGAAAATGTCCCATTGAAATTGAATTTTCTTGGATCAGAAAAATTCCAGAAGTCAGCATGCCTCTTCGTTTGTTGTGAATAGCTCTCCGTAAGTGTCGCAAAGTTTCACAATATGAATCTGCATTAATTTTTGTTCCAGGCTGCATAAACTCCACAAGCAACACACCTTTTTGGTCTCAAAAAACAATTGCCATAACCTTACGGTTGTTAAAGGTTCGTTTGAATTTTGTGGGTCTCTTTGGAGAATTTGTGTGCATCCATAGTTGTGATTGTCGTTTTGTTTTGGGCATGTCATATTGAACTCATGTCTCATCACCTGTCACAATGGATTTCAAAACCTCTTCGTCAGTATTATAACGGTCAAGAAACTCAAACACTGCAACCATTCGGCGAGTTTTATGGTCGTCAGTCAACATCTGTGAGACCCAGTGAGCGCAAACTTTTCTGTAGCGCAACTGTTCAGTAACGATAGAGTACAGGGAAGATCTTGAAATTTCCGGAAATTTCATCAATAATTCACTTCTCTTATGGTGAATTTTCAATTTTGCTTAACCGCTTGGTCAACTCGTTGAACAATGTCGTCTGTAGCGACAGACTTGTGTCCTTGATCCCCTTCATCATGCACATCAGTTCGGCCATCTTTAAACTTTCGACACCATTCATGAACAACGCCATCACTCATAAAGCTGTTTCCATACACTCGACTCATTCTTCGATGAATTTCCGCTGCACTGTTCCCTTCTGCCTGCAAAAAACGAATAACAGCTCGCAATTCACACTTGGCAGGAGAATCAATAGCAACAGCCATGTTTACGTGACTGCAACTCAACAGAAAATGGCGTGTTGAATACGCCAATGACAGAGCGTGTGGAGGGGAAGATGCGCAGTCGCCTACTACGCACACCAACCACCTGCTTCATACCTGGCCATCATACTGTGCGATCGGAGGTTGAAAAAAAAAACAACCTATGTATTTCAGGCTTTGGGAGTGTGGTGAAATTATAGCTGAAATCTTGATGCAAGTCTAAAATCTCCAAATGTGGTTGAGGGGTTGCTATAAACAAAGAAGTGTCCTGGTTTGTCTTGATAATAAGAGAACCACCTTAAAAAATACATTGCAGTTGTGAAATTTCAAGTGATACATCAGCATAAGTTGCTAAACATTGCAGTTGTGAAATTTCAAGTGATACATCAGCATAAGTTGCAGTTGAAATTACATGTGATATATCAGTTCAAGCAGTGCAAAGATGTCACCTATTGATAAAAAATTGCCATTAATATCTATTGTGTAATTTCTAGTTTTTGAGAGTTTGATTGTGCAACTTTATTTCTTGGTATTAAATTTTATTCCTGGAAAATCCTTTACTTTTGTGGGTGGCTGTGTAATGTAAGTTTAATTTTTGTACCATTACCTGCATTAAAACAAGAGAGTTGTTTATTTGCTCAGTTGAAATACCTTTGGTTAAAGCAATAACTAAGTACTATGTCATGATTCATAAAACAGAAAACATAGGCTCCTATCTTCTTCCAAAAAATAAAAATAAATAATAGTAGGAGTATCCTATCTTCTAAGTTTTGATGTTATTTGTTAATTATTTACACATGTTTGTTTATGTATTTAAAATAATGCACTTAAAATGAATTTTTTTTTGGCAGAGAATATTATTTCAGTGAAGAAAATTTGCAGAAGGATTTTTTTATGCGAAGACGAATGGATAAAGATGGGTTCATTCCTATTGCTCTTATAGCCAGTTTTCATAGAGTCCAGGCTCTTACCCAAGATATTGGCAAAGTTATTGAGGTAACTGTGATAGTTTGTGTTTTCTATGTCTTTAATGATAATTTTTTATAGTTTTAAATCTGCTTGTTTACGAATGAATGGATTCATATGCACAGTGCTGTCACACGCGTAATGAACTCACACATCAATAATTATCATATTTTTAGGTTATTAATTCTAGTTATCAAAATGAAGTAAGGCTTTTGCTCTAAATTCGGTATCTGTTTAACATTGCATATGTTTAGTAGGTAGTGAAAAACTACCAAATTTTCTTACTTCTGTGCAGTGGACTGATTGATGATCTAAGAAAAATTCAGTAATATCATTTGTAAATCACATAAGAAGTTTATTCGGCTACTGAGGTAGGGAGAAACTTGACTGATGAAAGAAATATAATTTATTTCCTATTTTGTTGCAAACAATTTTATTTACATTTTTAATTGTATTCAGCATTTCACCTGTGAAATGTTTGCACTAAAGATTTCTTTTTCTTGCTTTTAAAAATCTACAAGTTTGTCATCTTATCACAAATAAATTACCTTTAATTCGGCATAAATGTTTTAGAGTTGCTTTTATAAAACTTGAGGCAAGTGAAATTAATTTTATCTATGATTCCTAAAGCCTTGAGAGTCATTTTCAGGTTGTTCTATGTCAAGACTGTTTCTACATTCCCCTCCTTATTATTTATTTATTATTCCTGTATTAGCAGTACCATTGTCAAATTTTGGGTGCTGCTCATATTTTGAATTTCTATTTTGTAAAATGAGTGTTCTTGTTCTAAAATGTTGGGCAAATGAAATTTTGTATATTAGATGTTATGTTTAGAATGTTGACTTATCTGGTGGTCAACATAGCTAAATTTCAATGTTAGAACAAAATGTTTATAGTTGTTTTCTGTTTCCTTTTATACATAAAAACTTCTTTGCTAAATAAACATTCCCTTGGAGTATTTTTTATAGGTTGATAATTTTTGTCCAAGCATGGTGATAGCATTTGTTCCCATTGAGAATGTATAAATTGTATTTTGCTTTGAATGAATATCCATTATCCAATTACCTGACAATGCCATTGTAGTTTTTGTCCACTCTATTTTTCAACTTTATGTTTGCAATCAGCTCACTGTACATTTTAACATATTTACTTAGCTTTAAAGTGTGGTGTAGTTGCTAGTTAACTACCAAAATTTGCCTCATTGGCTCATTATTTTTAACATTAGCTAACATTGATCTTTTATTTTTTTATTTAATTTAGATTGATGCATAGTTTTTTTCCCTTCTATCTATTTTTCACTATAATCATGTTTTTTTTAACCATAAATAGGTATATTAAATTAAATAATAGGCTTTTGAGAATTCTATTTATCAAAATGAAGCAAGACTTTCACTCTAAATTTGGTATCTGTTTAACATTGCATATGTTTAGTAGGTAGTGAAGAACCACTAAATTTTCTTGCTTCTTTGCGGTGAACTGATGATGTAAGAAAAAATTCAGTAGTATCATTTGTATGATTTTCTAAGTCTATTTGTAATTTCTTCCAGTTTTATTGGTTAAAATTTTCTGCTTTGAAAAATGTAATTAAATGCAGCTTAATAATTTTTAATTATTGAATGCCTTTTTTGTGTGTGAAATAATGTTTCAATGATTATTTCTTGCTTGTATTAATTAGTGAGTGAAAATCTAGTGATGATGATGGTCCTTATAGGCTAATCTTGTATTTTTTTAGTGTACTTGGCTAAGTTGTGATTGGTAATTATTATGCATAACTAATAGATACTAATTGGCTAGTTTTTAAAATTGTAACACCATGAAGGAGAAAACTCCTTTACCAGCAACTTACAGAGGTGAAGTGTTTAGCTAGTTTGAAAACATAGAATGAGCAAAGATGAGAATCACATGTAAACAGCATGTGCAGCAAGAACTAACTATTGATACATAAGTGCACTTTTGCTGTACTGCTAAGCCTGCCATGCTGTAAGCATAATTCAAATTTCAGTTGTCTGTTAGATTCAGTCTTCATGATATTGCAATTTTAATTTAGTGCAGTTTATGTACTCACAATGTAAAATAATAACTCCAAAAAGATTTTGGAAATTATACTTCCTTATCAGCTGGTCACTTTACAGTGTAATTCAAGGTCTCTGTTTTCATAAAACTGGGAAATATTTCTCTGGATAGTTGATTTTTTCCACTAACAGTTAAATCAAAGTACTAATCAATATGCCTTGTTAGCATGATTGAAGCACTATTTAAGTCCTTATCAATGTAGTTTGTTTATATTGACATTTGACCTGTTTTAAAGTATATAAGGATTATTCACTTTGGGTCAGATTGTGCAGATTTATGCATCATTTTTTATAATTCTGTGCTCATTTCTAAATTTCTTTAATAGCATTTCCATATGATTAAATAATCATACAATGCATCATCTGCTTATTTCATTAATGTTATTTATTTTACTTTTTACTTTTTACCAAATATTATGAAATATTTTGTTTTTCGTATTTTATCAAAGGCAATTGCAGCTAGTGAGCTGTTAGAAGTTTTAGATGATTCCAAAGTGCGAACTAGGATTAACCCTGAACAATGGCCAATTCATGATGCTTTATCAAGAGAGCTTCGTCCTGAATTAGAACATGAGGTTCCTACTTTCATTCCTGGCAAACCTTTTGTTTTACCAGGTATTTTATCTTTCTTTCTCAAAATTATTTTAATTTATACATTAAAAAAGTTTGTTATAATATTTTAAGGAAATGTGCAATTTCTTTTCATTGAGGTATTGTAAAATTTTCAACAATTTTAGTAGATTTAAAATATAATTGCAAAACTACTGGTGCTGAGTATTACAAAATGGAAAACTACTGATATGGAGTATTACAACATAGTGTTGCTGTAAATGTTATATGATGGAATATTGTTCTGTTTGTCATGTATGTTGAGTTTTGATGGTTATATCATTATTTATTAATTTATAATATCTAAGTCACTTTGTATGCTATGAGAAGGCCTCGTAATTTTTATTGGATTGCTATCATTATATGCAGTCCATCATGAGTATTACTAATATTTGTAAGGAAAAAGTATCAACAGTTGTAAGTTATCATAATACTTCAGATAATTTTTAGGTTGTGTGTGGGGTACTCTTAATGCAAGTTTATAGCAGCACTGTGATAAATGACTTATGGCTACCTGAAAGAATGCTCATTTTAGTCCATAAAATAGTGTAATAAGACTTGCAAACTCGACTTCTGATTACTCAGCAACTCAATAACTGGACAATATATTTTTAATTGCTAAATGATTACTTCTGGTGAAGAACATTATCTGTAAAATAATGTGGTGGTTTATTTATAGCTATAATATAGTAGTTTCTAATCTTGCCTCTGTGCAAACAATATAACACCATTTTAATTACTGTATTATTGTAATTGCATACATATTTATGTGTTTGAATAGCCACATGTGTTACTTTTCTCTTCAGGGATTTTTTGGTACTCTAATTTTGCAAATTTTGCCTTCTTAACTTTGTGACAATCTTAGAACCTGTTTACCAAACTTCGTGATAGGTTTATTTCTTTTCTGGAAATTTTAGTTTATCCCATTTGTCCTCTCAATAATAAGATAGCTGAAGTCAGGTGACTGTTGTTGATTAGCGCTCACATTCTTTTCTGTTGCTAGCCATTAGCAAGCTTGCCTGAAGGTGTATGACTGTATCCTACAGTAAACTAAGCTTTAAGTTAATTCTGGGTAGTTTCTTAGTCTATATTGAGACTTAAAAAGTGTTCTTTTGTGTTATCTGTGCAAGTGAAAATGTTGAAATGAGGGGGTGGGACAATTCAACATGGAAATCAAATTGGATGCTTTAATAGAGTGGACAAACAGGACAGTATTATTAATAAAACTGCCATGGATTTTGATGTTGAATGACATATTATGAGTTGTGAATAACCAATAATTGCTTGTGTAAATAAAATGAATCATTGTTTCTGTAAATAAAAGGAACTTTAATAAGTCAAATGTCTTCCATTCTGTTCGGTGAACTTTTGCCATCTTTCTTGTAGCTTAATAATTCTGCTCTCGTAGAACTTCTGGCCTTTATCAGCAAATAACTCAAGTTTTATTTTGAGGTCATTGTCATTACTGAAATCTTGACCATTTAAGTTCTGTAAACTATGAAATAAATGATAATCCGATGATGCAAGGTCGGATCTATATGAAAATGTGACATCACTTCCTAACTAAGCTCTAGCAATTTCGTGCGTGTTTCTAAAGAAGTGTGAGGTTTCGCATTATAGTGGTGGAACATGATTCCTTTGTGATTTGCCAATTCTGGGCTTTTCGATTTGGTTGCTTTCTCCAGTTTCATGAGTTGTTCGCAGTAAACATATGAATTGATCGTTTGGTTGTTTGGAAGCAGCTCAAATACACAACTCTATAGTAATTCCATCACATTAACAGTATCATCTTTGTCTGATGTAGTTTAACTTTCAATTTGTATTTGCTAATTCACCATGTTTAGGCCAGGATCTTTTTCAATTAATGTTACTGTAGAGGTTCCATTTTTCATCACTAGTGATAATTGGTTTCAAATAAGGGTTGACTGCATTACGTTTGAAATGCCTATCACAAATTTCAATTCATTAAGTGAATTTCTGTCATTTGAAATGGAATTCAAATATCAAGTTTTTTTCTTAATGAATCTGAGACATCTAATGTGATTTTCAGTTGCTGTGTATGATACATTTAACCTTTTTGCAATTTCTCGTGCAGTAATATGATGATTTGATTCAGTTCTAGTTTTTTTTTTTTTTTTTTTTTTTTTTTTTTTTTTTTCCCAAATTGTTGGTCACCTTCAAGTGAAAAATCTCCAGAACAAAATTTTCTAAACCAGTTTTGACACATGTGCTCTGTTAAGCAATCAACACCATAAATTATGTTTATTTCTTTGTGAGCTTTAGCTGCATGAAATTAAAAAAGTAAAGTATGTTAAAAATATTTACTTTTGCATCCCATGTTAAAATTGACCATAAACTAACACTTGTAAACAACAATACATGAAATTTGTTTCTATAGCAACCTAAAAGTATTAGCTGCCAAATCTCGTAAGGAAAAAATTATGATTGATAGGAGAATATTAAAACAAATATAGCACTATCTATTTGTGAAAAACAAATTACTTGTTTGCCAACCCAATATTTATGTTTGTGATGTATGAAAATGTAAATTTGTCATGTCTGATCTAACTGCTCTGGCCTAATGTTTTTTGCATCTAGAAAGTATGGGCTCTCTTTAATCGCAGAATTTCAGGTAAAGTTTTTAAGTATGGAAACATGGAGCTATGCAAGGAAAGGACAGACATCTGCTCTAAGAAATTAATTGCATGCTTTTGTTAGTGTTATATAAAATAAAGTAATAAGTGCCAGTTCATGCTGATGACTAATTATGTAATATCTTTAATAATATTTTAATGTTGAGAGCTAACAAATGGGAATTCTGACAAAATTTGCATTTGTACCATATTAACTTTCTGCTTATCTAGGTTACTTATTGCTTGGGTGTTAGCAGATTATCAAAATATAGCACTTTATATCATGAAACTTTAATTTTCTGGACTTCTTAAAGAGACAATATGCTATGTAAAATAGGGTTTAATTACAATAATAGTAAACTTACATGGATTAGTTCCTAGAAAAGCTCTTACATTCCTTTCTCACAACTTGAAAAGTTGGTTATGTGGTAGAAATTGGCTTCTTAAAATTTCACATTTAAGCAACATTTTTAATTTAACCTTCTGGATTAACAAGTAAATTTGTTAACTACGTGTGGAAAAAATTCTTGCTCTCAAGAAAAGCTAGAATTTTTCGTAATTTGTGTAAGCGCCAATAACTTCGATTGTTTCCTAACAATAAAAGGCATTTCAGAAGAGAAGGGAGTTGAAACGGGTTTATTAAAGATTGTATTCAGCACCTTAAAGGTTTGAATGAAGCTTTTAATCATTTTCCATATGAACAGCAGATTAAATATCAAAATGAATTGTGGATTAAATAATACTAATGTATTGCCAATACATGACCTTCTTCCATATCAGCACAATAATATGAAACTTTTATTGAAATGACATCTGATTCATCATTGCAAGACAAATTTAAATTAATGCTGTTAGTCAAATTCTGGTGTAGCTTAAAAGATGACTACCATCCTCAGTTGTCATAGAAGGCCATGTTTGCAGTTTCGCCATTTGCAGCTGCATGTTCGTGTGAAATGGGATTCTCAGCTTTTGTGTCGACAAAAAATAAATATTGCAACATACTTGATGAGGAACCTGACATGAGAATTCAATTTTCATCTAAAAGGCTTAATATTAAACATATCTGTGATTCTAAAAATGGCAGTACCACTCATCTCATTAAAATTAAAATTTTAAAATCCTGTTTTAATTATTATTATTTATTATTTTTTCTAGTTGTTTTAGGATCCTTTGGGGTTAGTCTTGAAATTACTTTCTGAAGTAAAATAAATATGATTTTGAAATAACTTTTTTTTTTTTTTTTTTTGTTGTTGTTGCAAATAATCTGTTTACACAATGCTGTTTTAAAACCATTCTACAGTAGAAAACTAAGTTTTTCATGGACATTAAAATGGGCTCCATTTCTCAGAAAACAGTAAGATAAGAAATGCTGTTCTAAAGGATAATCACTATTCCTTTGTTGACTTTTTGTTTATGCTTGAAAACTGTGAAAGTTCCTGTACAATCTACGGAAGAATAATGTATTCATGGTTTATCATAAATATAATGTTTTCTTTGTGGAAACTTAAAACTTATTTTTGTAATTCTTTGTTTCTCTTACTGTACTGTATTGCAGTTAGAATCAGCATATGTAATGTGTGTATATGTATGCAGGATCTGATTCAGCTGAAACTTCTGAAACCATTTCTGACTCATCTGAAGCTCAACAAAGAAACGTGCCGCAAAAAAATGGAGCTAGAATTGAGCAAAAACGGAGGACAAAATCCTCATCTACAATGGAAGTATGTTATCCAGTCATTATGAAATTCAGTTTGCAATTAATACGCTTTCTCATACACAGATTTTTATTAGTTTGATAAATACAGTACAAAGTCCGTAATCCGGACTCATCAGGACTTCGGGGATTCAGGATTAATGGTTTTCCCGGATTATAGATCATCAATTTAAATCTGGTAAGATGGTATGCCGAAATTATACAATTTAAAATATGAAACTGTAATTGATGAAATAAAGAGCAATTATGATCTAAAGGGTATCAAAAATTTAAAAAAAAAAGCTTAATATTTATTGCTTACTTTATTAAACATTTCTTTCAATGTAAGTTGTTTAAGTTGCTTCGTTTTTTTGTGCTAATACTTTCTCCTTAATTCTATAAACAGACCTAATTTCTTTTTCAGTTACAAAGTTCTACTGTTCAAGTCCTGTAATTGCTGTCTCAAGAATACAGACTAACTTGTCAATCGAAGTGTTTTCATTTTCAATAACCTCTCTGTCACTTTCTTCACTATTGGAAGCGCACATGCGTGTATCGGAAACATACATTAAACGCGCATGCGTAACGGATACAAAAAAAAAAAAAAAAATTCTGTGGCTTTGAGATCCGGATTACGGACTTTGTATTGTATAGTAGTTTTCACTTAAGTTGTATAACCCCTAAGATGTGTTTCTGTTTAACATACTAATTGTAGTGACTTTCAGATATGCAATAATACTAGGTGTTCAGTATTTTTTAAGTTATGAAATAATACATAATCATAGTATATACTGTTCAGGATGGGCATGTCATGTACATCGTTAGCAAACATTATCAAATTGGCATTTAATTCATTTTGTGGCCAGGCATAGCATATATGACGTTTTAGATAGAACATTTAATTAGTATTTTTTTGTAGCCAGTAGATGTAGCTGTCTCTTATGGTGAAATTTATTGAAAGTATTGTATATATATTGTAAAGTATATATATTGGCCTTCATTCCTACGTAATTTATTTCAGAATGATAGCGAGATTCATGGGTGTTCAGCGATGTACAGGGTTCGTACAATCCTTAAGAGTTCTTGAAAGTCCTTAAATTTTTTGGAATCGATTTTTGGTTCGTAAAAGTCCTTAATTTTGGCCAAAATCAGTAGAAGGTTCTTAATTTTA